TCCCTACTTTTTCCTTCAAATCAAATACAACCTTATTAGAATTATTTTTCTTTTTCTCCTATTTGGTTCACCACAGATAAATGAACACAACCAAGGCTGCTTCTTCACCTCATTAATTGAAGTAGAAATAATTCTTTCATTGGTACCAACATTAATATCTAGATTCCAAAAAGCTCCTGAAAGACCAACTGCATCTACCCCCAACATCCCCATCTTTTGAGGATTTTTAATCTTGTTTGACAACTCTAGAAGTGAACATTTTGTTTCCATCAAAAATATAATATCCGATTTTAATTCTCAAATTACTCTTTCTAAGGCTTGAGCTGTCAAGGGGGAGCCCAACATTGTGGCTGTAGGGGCTGAGAAGGGCAGCCACTAACACTCTATTATTCCCAAGGCTATAAAAAAAATTAAATACCCCATCCAAACCAAAATATCACCCCCACCATTGACAATTCTTGGTCATAAACTATCAGATGTATTCACTTCCTATTGGATGTTGCAAGAAAATCTTGTGACCGCGGTTGCAGGATATGTGGGGGCATCCCACTACTTACTACAAAGTACACTCACCCACTCCTATAGAGTAGGCCCGTTAATGATACTAGAAAATTTGAGGTCCGATCCAACATTAATCCAATTATATCAGATTTGAATGATATATTTATATAATTGGATTGAATTCGGATGCTACAATCTACATTTGATTAATAATCGGATCGGATTTGGATTTGACCCCATCCAATCTGATTAAAATCCAAATATGATTATATTATACTATTTATTAATTTTAATATATAAATTTTATATAATTATATTTAAAATTATAAAAATCTATTCTATATATAAATTTAGTATGCTATATTTATATTAATTTATTATATATAAAAGTTGAAAAATAAATAAAATTTTAAATTTTTTGGTATTTTAGAAAATTTAGAATGAAAATTGTGAACTAATAGGTCCAAATTCATTCTCATTCTTACTATAAAAAGAAGATTCCAATTATAGTACAAAAAATGAATATTTGCAATATAAATCTCGATATCGACCAATTACATTAGAGACATCACATGGTCTACACACTTTTCATTGGTTCTTGTTTCACAAGGTATACTTATCAATCATGTTAAAGAGTTTTACAACGTTAAAAATGTCAACCGAGACATCTCACTTTATTACTAATTCATATTTTTGCTTCACAGTGCAGCTTTGCACCATAGCATTCTCCCATGAAGGATTCAATGTTTTTTTGAAAAAAAAAAAGGCTTAGTCCAAAACAACTTTTTCTTATTCTACTCATTCTTGATCAATCTTGATAATTCTAGAATCTCATTCAGTTCAAGAATGAAGAAAAACCATAGCTGAATCAAACATGACTTTACTCTCATCTATCCAACAAAATACAATAAACCTGATGAGCATTGTCTTTGTTCACGCTGGGGTTTTCACTCAGCTGATCTAGTAGGGGTAGAACCTTTGTATTGGTGAGTCCCATATCTAATATATATACATTAAGGAAAGCCCTCATACTAGAGAGCTTCCCCTAAAACAAGTGAAATCATACTTTTGGTTATTCCTACTTTCAAATAAAAACTTCCTTCGTTAGACACGTGTCAAAAAAGATCTTTAAATGGAAGTTACCTTTAATAAAAAGAAAAAAAAAACAAAACTTATTTTAAATAATGTAGGATCCATAAAGTGGATTATTATTTAGAATAAACCTTGATTTAATCTCTTAAATTAAATAACAAATTTATATAGAAAAAATATCAAATAAAATAATAACTTAAAAATTTCAACATAAAAAAATAAAAATGGGCATCAAACAAAATTTATAAGAACAAGTTATTGGGGCTCTAGTCCCCATATTTATACATGGGTCCCTTTGTCCAAAGAAAAAAAACAATATTATGAACATATTGTTAACAAAAGAACATTATATGGATTCTTTCCCCTAAAAAAAAATTCTCTTAATATACCTACTTTGCTCTTAGCCTGTTGGCTAATAGTTTGAGCTAAAGATAGATCTGTTGGCTAAAGTTTGACCAATAACATTTTTATTGGCCAAGGAAATAGCCCATGAGCCGCCTTGTGGCCTAGCCTCTTGATAGGGCTGTAAACGGTATCTAATTGTCTAAATTCAATTTTTTTGGTAAAAAATTAGAATTTGATCCTATTAAGGATGATTCAAATTTGATCCATTTACTAATAAAATTGGTCTGAATGTTGTTTTTAATTCATTTTATTAATAATATATTATAGGGTAAATTACAAAGACCCCCATGGGGTCTGTGACAAAGACCCCTTGTACTTTGTTTTGTGACAAAGACCCCCCTATACTATGACCGTGAGACAAAGACCCCTTTCCTTAGCCTTTCGTCCAAAAAAGCTATTATAATATTTTTTAATCCCCATACTACCCTTGTAACAACTAGACGAGAAAAACACTATTCATCTTCCCTGACCTTCCGATACTATCCTTCTGTTCCTTCACATTTCTCTCTCTCCCTCTCTCTCCTCTCTCTCCCCCGATCTTATACGGTTCGAGTTGCAGACACAATCGAGTCTATATCAATTGGTTATGGTGGGCTGGCCAGTGCAGAGCAGATCAGAAGCGTTAATGGGGTTGATGGCCAGGGACGATTGTGGAGTGGTCAGAGCCTTGTAATTCTTTTGCCGTGCACATGCTTCAATAACACTAGTAATGGCATTACGGCGGTTTATTTGTTGTATTTAGTGCACGCAGGGGAGAACTTAAGCAACATCGGAGCAACGCATGGTATGACTGTAGCAGAGTTGGTGGCCGTTAATGGGTTAACACATCCATCCTTTAAACTTCAAAGCTTCAACACACCCATTATTGAATTTAAGACGACAAATGAGCAGTAGCACAGAACATCAACAGTTTGGTCGGATCGGAGGATCTGGAAGTGGTGGAGCATTACTTCCTAATGATAAGTGCATCGTTATGCAACTAGAGAGTGAATTCATTAAGATAAGTACCCTGTCACCATCATTTCCAATACATAGACATGCTTTGGTGCTTTAGTTTGAGATAAATTTTTGTTGTTATTTGGTTCATGAAAAGGCAAAAAAAATCAACTCTTTGTATTCTTGCTTTTTTTTTGAAATTATATTGTTTTTGCTATTCCAAATCCAAAACCCAAAATGAGTTTGTTGAAAATCTTGGTAACTCCCCTTATGGAAGTGGTAAAGTGCGTACTAATCTCTGTCGGGAGCCTAGAAGAACCAGGCAGGTCTCACCGCACCATGGGTTGCTCCTCTTCCCTTCCAGAAAGCACGTCTTTTGGACGGTTGGATGGTTTCAGTTCTGAGAATGTTGAAGCAACTGACTCAAAAAATTTACGAGTGAAACTAGTGCTTTTAGGGGACTCTGGTGTTGGTAAAAGTTGTATTGTTCTTCATTTTGTTCGTGGGCAGTTTGATCCATCACCCAAAGTGGCTGTTGGAGCTTCATTTTTATCACAGACAGTAGCATTGCAAGATTCTACAACAGTCAAGTTTGAAATATGGGACACTACAGGGCAAGAGAGATATGCTGCACTGGCCCCCCTTTACTACCGAAGAGCTGTAGTTGCAGTAGTTGTGTATGACATAACAAATCCACAGTCATTCGACAAAGCTTAGTACTGGGTTAAGGAGCTACAAAAACATGGGAGCCTCGATATTGTCTTGGCTTTGTTAGGGAACAAATCTGATCTCCAGGAAAAACGAGAAGTATCCATTGAAGATGGTATGAACCATGCGAAGAAGAATGGGATGTTCTTTATTGAGACATCTACAAAGATGACATATAATATTAATCAGCTATTTGAGGAAATTGCTAAAAGGTTGCCTCGTGCTCCCTCTTCATGATTGCAGAAAGGACACCAATTGCACTATAGATTATAGAATTCCAATACCTATCTTTCTTCTGCACTGTACTTCTGAATTTGTTTATATCGTGAATTACCCAGTTATCTTTGATTTATTTATAATGGGTTTTCGGTATGATTCAAAAAAAAAAGTCTGTTGGGAAGTAGATTGGTTATATTTTTCATTATAGAAGGAACAACAACAACCTTAATGAACTTACAAAATTCTTAATTTCGAGGAGAGATCATACACAACAACTATTGAGTGCAGCTCAAACGAGAGGAGAGGAAGCCAATCGGTTGGTAATGCAAACCTAGGTAGAAAGAGCGGATGCCATATTAACACAAGTTCATAGTTGGTTTCCTAACCCTGAAAATGCAGAGAGAAATAACAGTGAATGTTTTGTTGGATATTGTCCTACTCGTTACATTTTGAATAAAAGAGCATAGTTGAAGATAGTGGAGATCAATTCTCTAATTGGCAAAGCAAAACTGTTTATGAATGAGAGTTGAAGATAGTGGAGATCAATTCCTCCGTCCTTTCATTTCGGAGAGTTGGGAGAGAGAAAGAATGAGAGAGGACTGTAGGGAGGGGAAAAGAAGATAAGAAAGGAAAAACCATAGGTTAAATAGGTTTTAAGAGAAAAAGGGTAAAAAAAGAAAATAGAAAAAGTTTAGTGAGGTATTTTGGTAATTTACGCATTCTGTCATTGACTTAACGGTCAAGGGGAGTCTTTGTCTCCTGGTCACAATATAAGGGGGTCTTTGTCACATAACAAATTACAGGGGGTCTTTGTAATTTACCCTATATTATATTTTGATGAATTTTAGTTTAATTTATTTATACCATTCTATCGGGTTCGGTATCCTCTTTTTTAATAACCGGTTCGGGTCGAGGCAAACCGTGTCAAACCCGACCCATTGAATCCCATGAAGGGCATGCATGATGCATGATCCACCCTCCTCTCACATTAGAATATGCCAAAACCAATTTGGCAATTTGGGATTTATTCGACTTCGTACCGGAGAAGGCAAGTTTCGGACTTTCGGTATTATCCGTAAACACGGTATCGTAGTCATAGAAAGCTGTAAATTTGTCTGGCTTGGAATTGGAGGTCACCGACTCACAACTCTTCCTATAAAAGGGCTTTCCTTTCTCCTCGCCTTTCGTGCTCGTCTTCTCTAATTCCCTTCTCATTTTCTCAATCCGATCTCTCTTTTTCTTCCCAAGGTATGCCTCTCTCATCGCTTCAAATTCTTTCTTTTCTTTGTCCTCTGTTCTCTTTCGATGATTTTTTTCCTGTTTATTTGATTGTTTCCCTGTAATTACTGTCATATGTTCTTATTTTGTTAAGTGGGTTTTGTCTTTAGATGGCGATTGGTTTGCCGATGTCTTCTTGTTCTTTTTTTTATTCCTTTTTATTTTGATTGATGGTCGTTGTGGATTCATGCCTTGTTCTTTCAGATTTTATTGTTCTGGCTTAATTTAGATGTTTAGGTTTTGATGAATGAATTATTGTAGGCATTTGAGTTATTCAGAAATGTTTTGTCTCGTCAAGTTCTTTTTCTCCTCTGATAGATATGTGATTCGTAAGGGTTTGTGATCTTGTTGGTTATCCTCCTTACTCGAGATTTCAATCGCTTCTATGTGTTTTTGAGATTGCCGATCTTCTGGGATGAAATTCGAAGTTAGGGTTTTGATCTTTTAATGACGCATAGCAATATGGGTTTCCTTCCGGAAGGGATCTGTTTATGTGATGGATATAATCCTCATGATCCTTTATGTTATTGATTTGTCGTGGTCTTAGGGATTACTGTGGGTACGGCTATATTTTTATGAAATTATTGGACATTCAATTTTTCTTTCCTTAGCCTCCCTATCTGTATACTTTTAGAATTATGATAAATTTCTTTACTTTAAATGGTGTTTTATTCTAGAAAATTAATCTTATTCATTTAGTTTTTATTAAGTCGGTTGATTAGTGGAGATCATGAATGTTCAGATCTACGTTTTCATATCGTTTTCATGGGGGTTCTGGCATTGATTCTTCAGTTCTGGTTTTTATTTGATTTGTAGTTGTGGGAGGGTGAATTAAAAAAAAAGTATGTTATTTTCTATGAATGGTTTGGCAATTGGTTGAAAGATTGGGAGGTTTTTTTAGCCTTTACCTTATTATTTTTAATGTTGGGTTTTGGTTATCTTCCATTTTTTGTCTGGATTGAATTTTGGTTTTCCTTTGCTACAGATGCAAATCTTCGTTAAGACCCTCACAGGAAAGACCATCACTCTCGAGGTCGAGAGCTCTGATACCATTGATAATGTTAAGGCAAAGATCCAAGACAAGGAGGGAATCCCCCCAGACCAGCAGAGGTTGATCTTTGCTGGAAAGCAGCTTGAGGATGGCAGGACATTGGCCGATTACAATATCCAGAAGGAGTCTACTCTCCACCTTGTTCTTCGTTTGAGGGGAGGAATGCAAATTTTTGTCAAGACTCTCACCGGAAAGACAATCACTCTTGAAGTTGAGAGCTCCGACACGATTGACAATGTCAAGGCAAAGATTCAGGACAAGGAGGGCATTCCCCCAGACCAACAAAGGTTGATTTTTGCTGGGAAGCAGCTTGAGGATGGAAGGACCCTGGCAGATTACAACATCCAGAAGGAGTCTACCTTGCACCTGGTCCTCCGTCTCCGTGGGGGTATGCAGATCTTTGTCAAGACTCTCACCGGAAAAACCATTACCCTTGAAGTTGAGAGCTCTGATACAATTGATAATGTGAAGGCGAAAATTCAGGACAAGGAAGGCATCCCACCAGACCAGCAGAGGCTAATCTTTGCCGGGAAACAGCTCGAGGATGGTCGGACACTTGCTGATTACAATATCCAGAAGGAGTCTACCCTGCATCTGGTTCTTAGACTTCGTGGGGGCATGCAGATTTTTGTTAAGACCCTCACAGGGAAAACCATCACACTCGAAGTTGAGAGCTCGGACACAATTGACAATGTCAAGGCTAAGATTCAGGACAAGGAGGGCATTCCACCAGACCAGCAAAGGCTTATTTTTGCTGGAAAGCAGCTGGAGGATGGACGGACTCTTGCAGACTACAACATTCAGAAGGAGTCCACTCTTCACCTCGTCCTCCGTCTTCGAGGTGGTATGCAGATTTTTGTGAAGACCCTGACCGGGAAAACCATCACTCTAGAGGTTGAGAGCTCAGATACCATTGACAACGTGAAGGCAAAGATTCAGGACAAAGAGGGGATCCCACCAGACCAGCAGAGGCTGATATTTGCTGGGAAGCAGCTGGAGGATGGTCGCACCTTGGCTGACTACAACATACAAAAGGAATCCACATTGCATCTGGTGCTCCGTCTTCGTGGTGGGATGCAGATCTTCGTGAAGACCTTGACAGGGAAGACGATCACACTGGAGGTGGAGAGCTCTGATACCATAGACAATGTTAAGGCTAAGATTCAGGACAAAGAGGGGATCCCACCTGATCAGCAGAGGCTCATCTTTGCCGGCAAGCAACTTGAGGATGGTCGCACCCTTGCGGACTACAACATTCAGAAAGAGTCCACCCTTCATCTTGTCCTCCGTCTTCGTGGCGGTCTTGACGATTTGGCCTGAGTAGTGCCTTCGTGTCTCCTCCAGTCCAGTCTTATATGAATCTCTGTTTGTTAATGTTTTGATTGTTCAACTTTGAACTTCGTAGCATCCATTAGCTTTGGCTTACTATTATAATATTCTATTACTCGAAAGTCGAAGCTGTGCCTTATTTCTATCCTATGTTCAAGTTTGTTTGTTGATGGGTGATCAAGGAATTCACATTTAAGTATCAATTGTAGTAATTTATGGTCATGGTTATTAGTATCTTGTTACTAACATCTTTTCTATGTGATGATGCTTAAAAACAAAGTATTAGTTAAAATTCTGCTTCTGCTAAATGGCTTAAAGACGAGCACAATGAGTAGTAGGTTTGTACTTTTTTAGGTGAAAGAAACAGAGAAACAGTTTTGGGGAACGGATATTTTGGTAGTCGGTGAACGAGCTTAGGACGATGATCTTCTTTGTCTCGTCAGTTTTTAGATAATGTTCTATTGGTATTTCCGACTCAACGTTTCACCCATTTTTCTTGGTTATGTAAAATGTTATGAATTACTTTGATTAGGTAAATAACTGAATCAATTATTTGTAGCGTACATTTGTATGATATGATGTACTCAATTTACTTATGCATGGTATTCCTTACTAAACCAAAGACGTTGGGATATGTCATTAAGCATAGATATGGTGAAAAGAATTAGGATGCAGTGATGCACATTGATGTTAATAACTCAACTTCAATAATACTTGGATAGTTAGTTAGTTAGTTTATGTGAAGTGTAAACTATTAGGACTCACTTGAAAAATGTCGACAAATTATGGAACATTTATTTTAAGAAAATAAAAAGGATAATATGTTAATTCTTGGGGGATTAATATTGTTCTTACTAGTATTTGTATATTTTAAATGAATATGCACAAACAAAAATGGATTAAATGTTAATACGTAAAACAAATTTACGCATGTTTTCACATTTATACTAGACTTATAGTGGTGTACTTTGTCTTGCCAGCCTATTTATCGCATGTTTAAGTCTTTTGCTTCTTTGTAGCCTTTTTATTAGACGTGCCAACAAGTGAGTGTTAATAAAGGATACATAAAAAAGAGTTGCATGATATGGAACATTTTATTTCACCCTTCACATAAAAAGATTTCAAATGGACCATCATTGTCACTTGATACTCTCCAAATTCTAGAAATCTGTTGTCACACATCATCCAACACCTTCAAACCCCATCAAAACCCCCTGATCAGACAATTGATCAGATTTCAGACCCTAAATGACCATTTTATCCTTTACAAAAAAAGATTCTAAATGGACCATCTTCCTCGCCCAATACTCTTTAAATTTAAGATATCCGCCACCATCCTACATATCCAAACCCCATAAAAACCTCATGATCGACAACTCAACAAATTTCATATCCTAAAATGACCATTTTATCCCTCATCCAGAAAGATTCCAAATCAAAGGCACTTATTGGCTATAATTATCCAAATTCAAGATCTGCATTACAGTACGCCCTCCGATATGCCTAGACCATACTGTCACCTTCCTATAGATTTTGATCGACCATCTTCATTTTTTAGACCCAAAATTGACCATTTTACCCCTCTATCAAGAAAGATCTCGATTTGACACCCCCATTGATTGATACACTCTAAATCATGATTTCTCACTTTAACACACTCCCTGAGGTTGTCAAATCCGATCACTGCCCTTTTCAAACACCTTAGAACTCCCATGGAAATTTTTGTTACAAAATTCTCCATTTTACCCATCCATCCATGAATTTCCAATTCATGCGATCTCGTTGGTTGAGACAAACCCTAACATCTTGAGGTTTAACCTAAGCCCTTGAATCCTGCACATTACACCCCTTAGACTTATCCCTTCATGGCAAAAAACCCCCTTGCACTTTTTCATTTAGGTCCCTGCACATTCTTAGAAATCATCCAAAGTCCTCATCTAAGCGTAGAATCAATCCTAGCTCTTAGCTCTAAATTTGAGCCCACACTTTCTCCACCCTAGGGTTGGCTCAACCTCTAGCAAACACTCCCCAAAACTCTAAAACTCAAAACCCTAGCCACCTTTCTCCATATTTACCTCTCAGTTTTGAATTTTGAATTTTAAACTTTAAAGCTCAATAATGGAAGAGACAAGGGGGAGCCTTTTAAGGAAGGTTGTTTCCTAGTGTTAATTGTGGTCAAAAGGGAGAATCAATAGAAAAAAAAGGAAAGAATAAAAATTCAAAAATCTAGAAGCCTCTCACCCCTTGGATTGGAACCAATAAATCCTAACCTTCTATCTTTTGGGCATTTCACACTAAAAGCCTAAAACCTAACCATACACTAACCAAACTCCCCCCATTCAGTTCAAACTCAACCAACTCATCCCAAACCAATCCAAATCAAACCAGCTCCTCATCCATTTGGTTTGAAGAAAAAGGCCAATAAAAAATCAAAACAAAAAAAAAACAAAAAACCTAGAACTAAACCAACCCAACTGAACACTAATTCATACACACACCTTCTCTCACACTCACCTCCCACCAGCGAACCAAGCTCTCTCCATCTTTCCCATTATCTTCGTCAACCTCCCTCTGCCCTCCATGAAACTTCTCACCATGACCTGAACCAAACCTCCATCCCATCAACCTTCATCTGCTTTCTCTCCATCCACTATTTTCTTCCAAAAAGAACAAAAAGAAAAGAAGAAAACCCTAAGAGAGATCGGCCATGGGAAGAAGAAAACAAGAAGGGTGAAGAAGAAAGCAAAAAGGGAGGAAGAAGAAAAAAGAAAAGGTAATGGAGCAAGCTCCTTCACCATTTTTCGACCAAGGTAAATCTTCTCTCTCTCTCTCTCTATCTATCTCTATCTCTCTCTCTCATGAAACTAATCTCTCCAACACCCAACCAAACCCCACTCTCAGACTCTCATCTCCTTCCCCCTCTCCTCTCCTAAAACACCATGACCGAATCCCTCTAGCCTCCATCTTTCCCTCCAAACACCTTCTTTCTCTCCATTATCCTTCCATCATAACAGAACCCCCAAACCCTTCATCTTCTTTCTTCTCTTCCCTTCAAATAAATCTGAACCCAAACCCTAGAGACATGCCCCATTCAACCATGTAAATCAAACCAAAAAGAAAGAGGACAAGCCTTGGTAGAGTTCGGCCAAGAGAGAAGAAGAAGAAGAAAAGGGAAAGAAAAATGAAGAAATCCGACCCAGGAACCCTAGGGCCAAATCAGTCCAAGGTAGAATACAAAAAAGAAGATAGGGAATAATCAATAAGCAAGGGGAATTCGAGCCAGCTCCCTTTCCTAGTTGATTCAAACAAGACCTCACTCAAAGAGGACTGAGAACATTTCAACACCATCTTCTCTAACAATTTTCGTCAATGCCCTTAACACATTTGCTCAAAATCCACAGAGAGTACTTTTATTTCCTTGAATCTCATTAGTGTTCTAGGCAGTCCTTTATTTTTAGCATTAAATTATCTCATTGCTGGATGGTGAATGTCTTCTTTTGAAATCAATTTCATTATGATTATGTGTAGGGAATATGTGGAATAACTTACTAGAAGAATCAAATGAATATTGTATGTCTTCATCAATGTCTCTTTAATCTAATTTAGATCATTATCATGCTCAAATTGTGTAACATATATTGGAATCACTTGTCTAGGTGTTAGAATTATGCTAGGCCAATTTAGTTTCATTTACCATCTTCTTAGCATGTCTTAATTGCATAGAAAAGTGTAGGAGTGCATTTGATTTTGGTTTTGGCATAGTATGTTTCTTTCTATTTACGTGTTTGCTTCTTTATCTTTCTTGTGGAGTCAATTGTGTAAAGTCTTCTCATGATGGTAGTGAGTTCCTTTCATATCTAATTCACTTTACTCACTAGTAGAAAGTCTAGGAGTGGATAAAAAGGGGTTGAGAGGAGATCTCTCCACCATCTTGCTTCAATCCAAAAATGTTCAAAAGGAGCTAGCCCTTGTAGAAGATTTATTGAATAAAAAAGAGAAGGAGACCTCAATCTTTCTTTGCTCCAATGAACTCTTCGAAATGGTTTTAGAGGATTGGAATGTTCAATGTGTTCATCATTCTTTTGATATGAGAAAATTTCAGCATAGAGTGAGTAAAAGTCTTTGGTTGCTTTAATTTTTCTCCTTGCTTTATTTCTAGGGGAATTGGTACTACATATTAAGTATGGGATTTGGTTTGAAGAAAAAGACCAATAAAAAAATCAAAAGAAAAAAAAAACAAAAAACTCTTGACGATAAATCTGATTGAAATATGAGAAAATAGAGAAGAGAAGGAAAGAAGAGAGAAAGGAGAAGGAAGAAAGGAAGAAGAAAAAAGTGTGGAGCAATAGAACAGTGCTAGCGGCACCAACTTTTATTATATTATATAGGGCAGCAGAAATAAGAAGGGAAAAGATTCTTGTGCCCCTGCTGTAAGTGAGTACAATAACAGACATAACAGAAATAAAAAAAATAGAAATAAAAAATGCTTTAACTAGCCAAACAGACCCTAACAACTAAATTATTTCAACACTCCCCCTCAAGTTGGAGAATAATGTCAATCATGCCCAAATTGTCACACAAATCATTGTGCCGCACATGATGAAAACCTTTGGTGAAGATATTTGCAAGTTCTTCTGAGCCGACATATGGATTACATATTTCTCCATTTATAAGTTTTTCTCTAATAAAATGCTTGTCCACTTCAATGTGTTTCGTCATATCATGTAGGACTGGATTAGCAGCAATATTGATGGCAACTTTATTGTCATAGTAGATTGACATAGGATTGCTCACTGCAAAACCCAGTTCACCTAACAAATTTCTTATCCACATGATTTCAGCAACCCCATGAGACATCGCTCTATATTCTGCTTTAGCACTAGATCTAGCCACCAACTTTGTTTTTTACTTCTCCATGTGACTAGGTTTCCTCCTACAAAGGCACAATACCCACTGG